AAAGGATTTGTGTCCAGAACATAGAACACTCAAAACCCATAAGAAAACAACTCAATTTTAAAAATGGGCAAAAGATTTGAACAGATACATCATCGAAGAAAGTAGAAGCACAAGAAAATATGGTCATTTGTCATTTAACAACAGGGATGTATTCTGAGAAATGTCACTAGGTGATTTTGTCATTGTGAAAACATTATAGAGTGTACTTACACAAACCTAGATGGTACAGCCTACTATATACCTAGGCTATATTGTATGGCCTGTTGTTCCTAGGCTACAAACCTGTTCAGCATGTTACCATAGTGAATACTGTAGGCAATTGTAACTCAATGGTAAGTAGGTATCTAAACATAGAAAAGGTACAGAAAAAATACAGTATTAGGCTGGTGATGGTGGCTGACGCCTATAATCTCAGCACTTTGGGAGGCTGAGGCATGTGGATCTCCTGAGCTCAGGAGTTCGAGACCACACTGGGCAACATGGCAAAACCTCATCTCTACTAAAATACAAAGAAAACTTAGCCAGGTGTGGTGGCAGGTGCCTGTAGTCCCAGCTCTTTGGGAGGCTGAGGCAGGAGAATTGCTTGAACCTGGCAGGTGGAAGTTTCAGTGAGCCAAGATTGAGCCACTGCACTCCAGCCTGAGTGACAGAGCAAGACTCTGTCTCAAAACAACAACAAAAAAACCAAACAGTATTAAAAAAAAATGTAGCAGTCACTTACCATGAGTGGAGCTTGCAGGACTGCAAGTTGCTCTAGGTGTCAGTGAGTGCTGAGTGAACATGAAGGGCTAGGACATTACAGTACTGTAGACTTTCTCAACACTGTATACCTAGGCTACACTAAGTTTAATTAAAAAGTATTTTTCTTTCTTCAATAATATATTAACCTTAGCTTTCTGTAATTTTATAGACTTTTAAATTTTTTAATCTTTTTGACTTTTTTTGTAATGACACTTATCCTAAAACTTGAACACACTATACAGCTGTAAAAAATTTATTATATCTTTATAAGCCTTTTTTCTTTTTAATTTTTTTACTTTTAAAAAGTTTGTTAAAAACTAAGACAGAAACACATTAGCCTAGGCCCACACAGGGTCAGGATCATCAACATCACTGTCTTCCACCTCCACATCTTGTCCCACTGGAAAGTCTTCAAGGGCAGTAACCCACAAGGAGTCATCATCTCCCATGATAACAATGCTTTCCGGAGTACCTTCTGAAGGATCTGGCCGAGGATGTTTTAGAGTTAACTTTTTTTTTTTTTTTAAATGAATAAAAGGAGTACACTATAAAATAACCACAAAAGTATAGTAAATATACTAGTAACAAAATTGATTATCAAGTATTATGTAGTATACATGATTGTATGTGGTATATTTTTAGATGACTGGCAGCACAGTAAGTGTATTTACAACAGCGTCACCACAAACACGTGTTTGACAGTTATGATGTCATTAGGCTATAGGATTTTTTCAGCTTCATTGTAATTTTATGGGGCTAGTGGGTCATGTATGTGGTCCATTGACTGAAATGTTATGCAGCATATGACTGTATAAGCACATGAATGTCTGTGATCCATTTAAAATTTAAATATGGTGTGGGGTATGTGTCCAGGTTTTGTATGTTTTTTTTTTTTCTCATGAAAATATCTGAGTCATTAGCCATGAGGAAATGTAAATTAAAACCAAAATGAGAAACCATTACCAACATATTAGAATGCTAAAATAAAAAAGACTGACCAGAGCAGATGTTGGTGAGGATGTGAAGGAACTGGATGGGGATGTCTTATACGTCTCATACACTACTGATGGGAATGTAAAATTGTACAGCTCAGCTGGGTGTGGTGGCTCACACCTGTAATCCCAGCTCTTTCAGAACCTAAGGTGGGTGGTTCACATGAGGTCAGGAGTTCCAAGACCACCCTGGCCAAAGTGGTGAAACCCCATCTCTACTAAAAAAAATACAAAAATTAGCCAGGCGTGGTGGTGCCAGCCTTTAATTCCAGCTATTCAGGAGGCTGAGGCAGGAGAATCGCTTGAACTTGGGAGGCAGAGGTTGCAGTGAGTCAATATCACGCCACTGCACTTCATCCTGGGTGACAGAGTGAGACTCCATCTCAGGAAAAAAAAAAAAAAAAAAAAAAAAAAAGCTGGATGTGGTGGCTTACGCCTGTAATCCCAACACTTTGGGAGGCTGAAGTGGGTGGATCACCTGAGGTCAGGAGTTCGAGGCCAGCCTGGCCAACATGGCGAAATCCTGTGGGAGAATCGCTGGAACCCAGGAGGCAGAGGCTGCAGTGAGCCGAGATTGTGCCACTGCACTCCAGTCTGGACAACAGACTGAGACTCCATCTCAAAAAAATAAATACAATAAAAAGGAAAACATAATAAAATTGTATAGCTACTTTGGAGATTCATTTGGCAATTTCTTAAAAAGTTAAATATAAAAAAATAAATTTAACTTTTATTTCTTAAAAAGTTAAATATAAAAGAAATTTAACTTTTATTTCTTAAAAAGTTAAATATATACCATATGCTCTAGTAATTCTTCTCCTAGACATGTACTTAATAAAAATGGAAGCATATGTTCTCAGAAAGACTTCTATACCAGTCTTTCTGTTATACTTACTGTTCATAGTAGCTTTGTATCTGTCAGTGTCAACCTAAAATAACCAAAAGGTCAGAATCTAACTTAAAGAGGGTTTATTCAAGCACAAAGAGTGAGAATGTATCACCCAGAAACACTGACTCCAAAGGAATCGAGTCAGCGTTCTGAAGTAAGAAACTGAAGATTTCATTCATACAGGCAGAGACAGGAGTTTTTAGCAGGATTGCAATACTTTTCATACAAGATTGGCACAAAGAGCAATTTGGTTGGTTATACGCAGTGTTTCTTTCTGTGAAAGGTGCATTTAACATTTTTTACAGAGGGTGTAACGCTCGGGTTTTCTGTTACCTGGTCTCAGCAAAGCAGGACAATAAAGGGCAAATTAATCTATAACAAGGGTCATTAAGGCAGGAGGTTTTTGTCATTGGCATCATTTTTTTCTAGTAATATAGAACAAGAAAAATAAGAAAGTGAGTTAATATATAATCTGAGAACAGAAGTTGTAATCATATGTGACTGAGATTAGTCACATCTCTCTCAAGGCTTACAGTGGCTTTTTTTGGTTCCACCATCTTTTAAATTTTATTTATTTTCACACCGACAACTAGCAACAACCAGAATGTTCACCAATAAGTGAATAGATAAACCAATTATAGTTTTAACCCACCTAGCAATAAAGAGTGAAATACTGAGACATGCAACAACGTGGATGAATCTCAAAAGAACTGTGCTGCATGAAATAAGCAACACAAAAAATAGTACATACTGTATAATTCTATTTATGTAACAGTCCAGAAAATGCAAACTCATTTATAGTGACAGAAAGCAGATCTGTGATTACCCAGGGAAATGAGGCCGTGGAGGAGGGAGGGAGTAGAAAGAAGCACTAAGAAACTTGAGGGTCATGGGTATGTTCATTATCTTGATTGTGGTAATGGTCTCACGTATGTCAAATATATTGTATACTTTAAATATGTGCAGTTTATTGTATGTCCAATATACCTCCATAAAACTCTTTAAAAATATGAATATCATGGGCCGGGTATGGTGGCTCATGCCTGTAATCCTAGCACTTTGAGAGGCTGAGGCGGGCAGATTGCCTGAGTTCACGAGTTCGTGACCAGCCTGGGCAACAAGGTGAAACCCAGTCTCTACTAAAATACAAAAAATTAGCCCGGCGTGGCAGCGTGTGCCTGTAGTCCCAGCTACTCGGGAGACTGAGGCAGGAGAATTGCTTGAACCCGGGAGGTGGAGATTGCCGTGAGCCGAGATTATGCCAGTGCACTCCAGCCTGGGCGACAAGAGCGAGACACCGTCTCAAATAAATAAGTATTATGAGTATTGTGATTTGTCGTACATACAAGTTTAATCCTTCAGAATTCAGCCTTGCCCTTTTTTTTTTTTTGAGATGGAGTCTTGTTTCGTTGCCCAGGCTGGAGTGCAGTGGCGCTATCTCAGCTCACTGAAACCTCTGCCTCCTGGGTTCAAGAGATTCCGCCGCTTAAGCCTCCAGAGTAGCTGGGATTACAGGTGCCTGCCACTATGCCCAGCTAATTTTTGTATTTTGTATTTTTTTTTTTTTTTTTTTTTTTTGAGTAGCTGGGATTACAGGCGCCTACCACCACACCAGGCCAATTTTTTGGATTTTTAGTGGAGATGGGGTCTTGCCATGTTGGGCAGGCTGGTCTCGAACTTCTGGCCTCAAGCGATCCACCCGCCTCGGCCTCCCAAAGTGTTGGGATTACAGGCGTGAGCCATGGAGCCAGGCCCTTGCACTAACCTTTTACTTTAAAATCAATCCATGATCACAACAATCTAAAAATGCCTGGATTAAATTATGTCGGTTTCAAATTTCCCCTTTCCCAGTAGCACCAGGTCATAAGGACACAGCTGTGTGGATGTGACTCTATTTCGGGTATCCAAAGACGCCAGATACAGGGACAATGAGTGCCTTTAACTTCGCTCACTGGAGGGTGACCTCCCTTAAAAGCACGCAAATGCTCAAAGTGTGACTCCACCCCTTCTATAAAAGTGGTAAAGGCGTGCAATTTCATTTGTGTACACGAAAGAACAAACGATGTAATAATAGTACACGGCCTGGCCTTAGACTCCACATCTGCCAGGAAAATTTAACTATAGGGAGGGTGATGGAGGCGCTGGAAGCCCGGGCCTGAGAAAGTGTGAAAATTGCTTAAAAAAAAAAAAAGTCACTGGCTTTCTCCCAGCGTCCCACTTCCGCAGGGGTCACGTGCCCGCGCCGGCAGCGCTCCCGCTTTCCTGTCCGCTGCGGCCCCGGGTCCCTGTACTTTGGGTCCGGTCCGCTTGCTGTCTGCTCGGTCCACTCCGTCAGCCCTTAGACCCGCTGCTCAGGACTCCTGCAGTTCCCGGTAAAGTTTCTTCCAGGGCGTGTGCATAGGGGCAGAGGGGAGTGAAGTCCACAGTTCCAATTTTAGTGTATGTGCTGTAGAAGCGAGCTCTTGTCCACAGTTCCCCTTCTAATAGAGGTAGAAGGGACGCGGGGAAACCACCTGGCGTCGCTCTTCCGATTGCTGAGCAAGAGCGCCCTTTAATGCCGCAGGCCGGCGCCCTTCACTGGTAAACGACTGGGGCCGGGCCTCGGCCTGGAAGAGGCGTTAGTCCTCTCCGTGACCTCAGGTCGTAAATGAGGACACCGAAGCTCGGGGTTGGGCGAGAACCCAGGTGTCGTGAGCGCGCACCTCCCGCACCCCTCCCTCCGCAGTGTATCTCGGGTCCAGCGCTCACTGGAGCGCCTCAGCCCCGACTCGGTGTAGTCGTGAGCTGAAACCTTTGACACCACCCCTTCCCTCCCCGTCCAGCCCACCGACCATGCCCGCGGGCGTGCCCACGTCCACCTACGTGAAAATGCTCGCAGCCAGCCTCCTGGCCATGTGCGCAGGGGCAGAAGTGGTGCACAGGTACTACCGACCAGACCTGGTGAGTGCGGGAGGGCTCATATTTTCTTTATGAGCCAAATACACCTCTTTTCTTGGTAAATTACCCAGGCTTAGGCATTCATTTATAGCAATGCAAATGCCCCCGGACCACTCCATTTCTTTGGGGCAGCAAAAGTGATCTTAAACGAAATTAGGATCACATTTGCCCTGGGCCCAAAACCTTTGGATGGCATCCCATTGCATCGAGGGCAATGCATGGCCTGTGAGGTCTTACACAGTCTGGCCGCTGCCTACGTGTGGCCCATCTGCTACCATTTGACCACTTCTTCCTCCTGTTAACATTCACGCCTGCTTCCTTGCTGTTTCTTAAACTCATTAAACTTGTCCCCATTTCAGGGCCATTCTTTTTCTTATCCTTGGCATGCTCCCACCGCCCCCCACAATTTCGCTTGGTTTCCTTCTTCAAAACTTCAAGTCTTAGCTCAGGTCTCTTCTTCAGCAATGAGGGTCCCTAGGCTACCTCCCAAAGAATTCTTCCTCTGCGATTTGTCTCATCCTTTGTTTCCATAGAGCACTTGTCTGCAGTTTGCAGTTGTTTTGTTTATTTATTTCTTTGTTAGTTTGCTTCAGTAGAATGTAAGCTCCAGACTCTGTCTGGTTCACTCTTGTATCTCAACTGCTTGGAATGTAGCAGACACTCAATAAATACTTGTTGAATGAAGGATGAGTGAATATAGGCATTTAAAGGAGGGAGAAATTTAAATTGATTTTAATAAGCATTCATTGAATTAGGAACTGGAATTAAAGGTTCTTTTCAGGAATTATAGTCATGGGGAGGTGGAGATGAGAGTATGGTGCAAATAATTACAAGAATGCTGTTATGTCATAGGCGTGAATAGTGGGTTGGAGCACAGCGTTGGGAGCAGTCATTTCTGTGTGGACTCTGCCTGGACAGGTAACACAGAAAATCAACCATTTGGGTTTCTTTTTTAAGAGTTTTTTTTGGAAAAATAATTTTTAAAAAATTAGAGGCAGTTCTCATTCTCTTGCCCAAGTTGGAGTGCGATGGTGCAATCAGAGCTCACTGCAGCCTCACATTTCTGGGCTCAATCAATCCTCCTGCCTTAGCCTCCTAAGTAGCTGGGATGACAAATGTGCACCATCACACCTGGCTAGTTTTAAAATTTTTTGTAGAGATTGGTCTCTACAAAAATTTTTTTTGTTGGCTGGTCTCCAACTCCTGACTTCAAGCAGTCCCCACCTTGGCCTCCATAAGTGCTGGGATTACAGGTGTGAGCCACTGTGACTGGCTCTATTCGTATTTGCACTTGTGTTTTATTTTTATTTTTTGAGACTGTCTCACTCTGTCGCCCAGGCTGGAGTGCAGTGGCATGATCTCAGCTCACTGCAACCTCTGCCCTCCAGGTTCAAGCAAATCTCATGCCTCAGCCTCCTGAATAGTTGGGATTTCAGGCACACATTACCGTGCATGGCTAATTTTTTTTCTATTTTTTAGTACAGACAGGGTTTCACTGTGTTGGACTGGCTGGTCTTGAGCTCCTGGCCCCAGGTGATCTGCCCATCGCTGCCTCCCGCAGTGCTGGGGTTACAGGCATGCCTGGCCCATTTGTATTTTTGATATCAGTTAATTGTCATTACAATTTTGAAAAATAGGTTCAGAAAAGTGAAGGTGATTTCTCAAGGTCACACCGCTTAATGAGACATTGATTTAAGGATCTGAATCCCAAGCTTTCTGTTTGGTATGTCTCTTTTTTGCTCCTATTCATAAAATAATTCAGTACCCTTGTAAAACACTCAAATTGAATTTAAGTATGTAGAGTAAAAAGTGAAAATCCCCTCTTATAACCCCCTTTCTCCCATCTACTCCCCACATGTAACTACTGTTTCTTGTTTGGTGTATATCCTTCACTACCTCTCACGGTTGTTGAATGCCCACTGATATGGTTTGGGTATTTGACCCCTCCAGATTGCATGCTGAAATGTGATCCCCAGTGTTGGAAGTAGGACCTGGTGGGAGGTATTTGGGTCATGGGGATGAATCCCTCATGAATGGCTTGGTGCCCTCCCTGTGGTGATGAGTGAGTTCTCACTTTACTAGTTCATGAGAGCTGATTGTTTAGAAGAGCCTGGCCTCTCTGTCTCACTCCCTCTCTTGCCATGTGTCACTCCTGCTCCTACTTTGCCTTCTGTCATGAGTTAAAGCTTTCTGAGGCCTCACCAAAAGCTGGACCAATGCTGGTGCCATGCTTGTACAGTCTGCAGAACCATGAGCCAAATACACCTGTTTTCTTTATAAATTACCCAGCCCCAGGTATTCCTTTATAGCAGTGCAACATGGACTAATGCATCTGTGCATGCATGTGCACACACAGTTTGTGGAATGTCTTTCCTTCATGTGAATAGGAGTTCATGTACACATTTCTCTGCAGCTTCCCTGTTTTGGTTAACATCTACATAAATAGACATTTGTGTATATTAAATCTTCCTTTTAACTATTGCATAGTATTTCATAATATAGCTATGACATATATTATTTGATCAATCCCTTATTGACATTTAGGTAGTATGTAGTTTTTGTATAGACAATGCTGCAAGAGCTCTTTCTTATCACTTCAGAGTGCTTCTCTTTTAAAAAGGGTTCTATTGAGCATCAAGGATACCTAGTGGACACAAAGTGACAAGAACCTTTCACAGAAATGCAGTTTAGTCTATAGCTTGTGCAGGAATAGACATAAGGCAGGCCTTGCAAAAGAAGGAATGCCTGTGATTTGACCTTGGGAAGTTGACGTTTGATTCACCCATTTCATTATAATTGGGAGTGTGCAAGGGTTGTTACAGCAGCAGCTACCTGTACCTTGGGAGGAGATAGAATGAAGCCACAGTCTTTGGAAGGGCCATACTGAAGAGTCTCAGGCCACCTCAGTTTGATTGGGTAGTGACATTGGCAATGGGATATCTATATAGGAACTTGAAGGCCCAGGTGGCTGGCTGTGTATAGGAAGCAGTGTGCTGTATTAACATTTATATGTTCTTTACCTATGTCTTTTGGTATTGCTCCAGCAATTACTGTCACTATTGTCAACCATAACAAAGCTGGATCACAAGTCTTTCAGTCTGAGAGCTGGAAGGTCTGGGCAGAGTCAAGAGCAGAGGAGACCATGATGACTGCCTAGACTTGTGCTCAGTGCTGTCTTGGGGAGAACTGCTACAGTTGCTTTGTTTAGTTGTCCAGCTCAGCTCATCAGAATAGCAAAGGAGATGACTCTGTTCTAGTTCAAGTTGAAGGCTAGGAGTCGTCCTTAATTCCTCTCTCATACTGTACATATCAGCAAATCCCACTTGATTAACCTGAAAAGTACATCCAGATGTGCCTGCTTCTCCCCACCTCTGTTGCTACTACCCAGTTCAATCCACTGTCAGTCAGCTTTCACCTGTTATTATAATAGCTTTCTGACCTGTCTTCTGCCTTCCACTCTTGCTCTCCTATGGTCTATTCTCAACAAAGCCACCATTGTCATCTTTGTCCACTTGAGTAAGGCCATGCCACTCTTCTCCAGAACTCTCCAGTGCCTTCCCATTTCAGAGTAGAAAACACTGGAGACTTTATCTCCCCACTCCCTTTTTTCTCTGCCCTTGTCTCTTCCTAACCTCTCCTTGAATACATTGTACCAGCTATACTGACAGCCTTGCTTCTCCTTGAACGTGAAGGCACACTCCTGCCTTAGGTCCTCTGTACTTGTGGTTCCATCTGCCTGAAATGCTCCTAGGTAACTGCATGGCTGGCTCCCTCATCCTCCTTCATGTCTTTTCCTGAAGTCATCTTCTGAACACCAGTAAGCACACAGAAAGATGCTCAGCATCATTAGCCACTAGACAAAGGCAAATCAAAACCACAGTGAAACACCACATCATATCTGCTACAATGGTTATAGTAAAACAGATCATAACAAGTGTTGTCAAGGATGTGAAGAAATTGGAAGCCTCATGCATTGCTGATGGGAATATAAAATGGTGCAGTGGCTTCAGAAAAGCCTGGTAGTTCCTCAAGCAGTTAAACATAGAATTACCGGCTGGGGGCAATGGCTCATGCCTGTAATCCCAGCACTTTGGGAGACAGAGGCAGGCAGATCACCTGAGGTTGGGAGTTCGAGACCAGCCTGACCAACATGGAGATACCCTGTCTCTACTTAAAAAAATACAGAATTAGCCATGCATGGTGCCGCATGCCTGTAATCCCAGCCACTTGGGAGGCTGAGGCAGGAGAATTGCTTGAACCCGGGAGGCGGAGGTTGCAGTGAGCTGAGATCGCACCATTGCACTTCAGCCTGGGCAACAAGAGTGAAACTCTGTCTCAAAAAAACAAACAAAAAAAGCCCATGGAGTTACCATATGATGCAGCAATTCCTTTTTTAGGTTTATACCCAATAAACATGAAACACATATCCACATGAAACTTGTATATGAATGTTCAGAGCAGTGTTACTCATAATATCCAAAAGGTGGAAAATCCAAATACCTATTAGCTGATGAGTGGATAGATGGTGTATCCATACAATGGAGCATTATTCAGTAATAAAAAATGAAATACTGATCCAAGCTACAACATGGATGAACCTTGAAAACATTATGCTGCATGAAAGAAGCCAGTCACAGAGGGCCACATATTATATGATTCCATTTATATAAAATATCCAGAACAGGCAAATCTATTTAGATCAACCAGAGGTTCTCATGATAAAGATTTATCATTGATTGAGTACCATGCAGGGAGATTTTTTGTTATGTTTTACTCTTTAAAGTCTTTCAGGTTACATTGAATTACAGCCTAAGTAAGGGTTAGACATCTATGTTTTTTGTTTTGTTCTTTTGCAGACAATACCTGAAATTCCACCGAAGCGTGGAGAACTCAAAACAGAGCTTTTGGGGCTGAAAGAAAGAAAACACAAACCTCAAGTTTCTCAACAGGAGGAACTTAAATAACTATGCCAAGAATTCTGCAAATAACATTCTAAGTCTTAAATTTGTGTTTCTTAATTTATTGCATCAAACTACTTGTCCTTAAGCACTTAGTCCAATGCTAACTGCAAGAGGAGGTGCTCAGTGGACGTTTAACTGATATGCTGAAATATATACTTCCTGAAAACTGCCAAAGCACATATCAGCTTCATGAATATGGTTTGGAAGATGTTTAGTCTTGAATATAATGTGAAATAGAATATTTATAAGTCCATTATATGGGTTGTCTTTATTTCATATATATTAAAAAAATCATGTAAAACTGGTTTCATTAATTGAATTTGCTAAGTGGAGTTATTTCTCATTGCTAAACTGATATTTTCAAATTCTGAATCTCTACTAACTTTAGTAAATGAACATCAAAGTGGTGAGCTTTGATAATATGTTTTATGGATACAAAATCATTATCACCTTATCACTCTCTAAAATGAAAGGCCTGGGGCATTGCTCACCTTTTGTGTGAAGAAAAGACCTGCCCTTTAGGGCCAGTTTGTGCTTAAGGGGAGGATAGACCATCACTTAGTGGACGTTTTAGAAGCACCGCATACCTTCCTTTTACAGGTACAGAGTAAGTGGTTTGGCTACTGCTACTGAGGGAAAGAGTCATGATTTGAATCTGAGTCTCCGGTAAAATAATGGCTTCATGAAGGTGAAAAATCAGTTTTATGGTTATTAAAGTAAAAATTTACCTCGAGTAAAAATGCCATCTTTATTTCATTAAGTGCTGGTTCTAAATGACTTCCATTAAGATACATTTTCTTCCTTTTTTGAGTTGATCCCCATTGTGAAAAATATACATTGTAGTGGTCATGGAAATGCGCCATCCGGACTCCCTAAGGAAGGCTTGTTGCCCTAGCGTCAGGCATGCCAGCAGCTTTCAATGGCCGGTTTCTGGAAGGATTGCCTTGGCTGTGGTGGTCTTGCTCAAAGCCATGCCTCCTGAAGGGGCCCAAATCCAGTGACTGTTGGAGGTGAGAGTAGAAAAGGCCTGGTCCCTTCAGCACATGAGTGGGTGGGCAACTCTGATGGACCCACCACAACTCCCTCTGGGCTTTATAGACACTGTCTTTGGATCTGCGTTACAGCTCAACTTCTCCCTCTGCTCAGTCCCGTTTCCTTCCACAGGTGTTGATCCAAGGGTGCGCCTTAATAAACACAGTCCCCCACCCCACCCCACCCCCCCACCACTAAACTGCACTTGAGTGTTTCTTGGAGAAACAAATCTGTAACATACACGCATTAAAAATTAAAAGCAGTACAATATTACCCCCTACTAATGATGTTTTTTAACTTAAAGACCAAGATAGACCAGTTGCAACCTGTTTGGTAATTAAATTAGGCCAGTTAAACAGTTTTTGTGCAAAATAGGTATGGTTGAGCTGTTTATTTTCACCGAAAATTGAGGGAGTATGATGGTTTCCTGCTGCGAACAACAGAAATTTAGAAACTGTAATTGTAGGATTCTGAGGAGCAAAAGTGTCAAGATATCACTAATTCATTGTGATCTGATGGCTTTGATTTCTACAAGTATATCATAGCAATATTAACAATGGTAATGCATAGTGGCCCCAAAATGGGAAACATTACAAGTAGCAATTAATACAAGCCTATATCATGAAAGGAAGCTATACCTTAATTATACCATGTTTCTGTAACTGAGCTGCCATTCTACTATAAAGGGAAAAGCAGGGTGGTTTTCAGAAGATATATACTCTAGTAGGGAGGCTGGTAATGATTATTGCAAACTAATTCTAGAAAAATACCTTAAGGTAGAGAGTAGGGAAGCCTGATCAGGAGTAGTGCATAGAGGAGTACTAGATCATCAGAAAAACTGTAGTCTCTAATGAAACTCTGTAGTACATAAATTAATTTTGCAAAATTTTCTAATACACACATCATCCTTGAATATACAGCTAAGACATCTCTCTCTAGCCCATTGTAAAAACAACAAAAACTTAAGACTACCATTTCAGTTGGCTGTAACAAACTAGTGAAATTAAAAAATTGTCCCCTAAACAAGAGTACATTTTCTTTTTTTTTTTTTTGAGATGGAATTTCA